GACAGATTTTTATAAATGTCCTTCTGGTATTTTAAACTAGTAGTAAAGAATATAAAAAAGTGACTCTTTTTATTTTCTGAAACAGTTACAATAATTGTATAGAATCAAGAGGATATTATTGACACGTCTTCATCACCAGGACCAGCCGGGGACAGGAGGACCAGCCGGAGGAGCACCCACAGACAGGAGCATCTACAGGAGGTATTTGTTTAGGAAATATGACTTGGAAAATTATTTGTTAATTGTTAAAGTAAAATTAGAAAAATAAACTTCGTGGGTTTTTTTTTAATTTCGTGGTGAAAGTTTGTTGGGTTTTTTATTGGCTTTTAGGTGAAAAGAGAACATAATAAAATGTATTTACTGACAGGTTTTTATCAATGTCCTTATGTCCTTTTAAACTGGTAGTAAATAATATTATAACGAGTCTTTTTATTTTCTGAATCAAAAATACAAAACTGTAGCCCATAGATGTAAGACGATTGTATTAATTGACTCGTCTTCATCACCAGGACCAGCCGCGGACAGGAGGACCAGCAGGAGGAGCACCCACAGACAGGAGCATAAACAGGAGGTATTTGTCTGGAAAATGTCTTGGAACATTATTTATTAATTGTTGAAGTTAAAATTATAAAAATTGCTGGTGGAGCTTTTTTTCAATTTCAAAGTGAAAGTTTTTTTTAAATATTTATGTGAAAAGGTAATATAATAAAAACGTATGCCGGTATACTGACAGGTTTTTATAACTGTTATTATGGCCTTTGAACCCGATAGTAGAAAATATAGCGACTGTTTTTATTTTCTCAAGTAAAAATACAAACTGTATAGTTGCAATACGATTGTGTTGACACGTCTTCATCACCAGGACCAGCCGGGGACAGGAGGACCAGCCAGAGTAGCAACCACAGACAGGAGCAACCACAGACAGGAGCAACCACAGACAGGAGCAACCACAGACAGGAGCATCTACAGGATGTATTTGTCTGGGAAACATGTCTTGGAAAATGATTTATTAATTATTAAGGTAATATTTGGAGAAAAAAAAGTTCCATTTTTTAAAATTTCAAGGTGAAAGTTTGTTTGGGGGGGGGGGGGGGTTGCATTTATGTGAAAAGGAAAAATAATAAAACGTATTTTCTGACAGATTTTTATAAATGTCCTTCTGGTATTTTAAACTAGTAGTAAAGAATATAAAAAAGTGACTCTTTTTATTTTCTGAAACAGTTACAATAATTGTATAGAATCAAGAGGATATTATTGACACGTCTTCATCACCAGGACCAGCCCGGGACAGGAGGACCAGCCGGAGGAGCACCCACAGACAGGAGCATCTACAGGAGGTATTTGTTTAGGAAATATGACTTGGAAAATTATTTGTTAATTGTTAAAGTAAAATTAGAAAAATAAACTTCGTGGGGTTTTTTTTCATTTCGTGGTGAAAGTTTGTTGGGTTTTTTATTGGCTTTTAGGTGAAAAGAGAACATAATAAAATGTATTTACTGACAGGTTTTTATCAATGTCCTTATGTCCTTTTAAACTGGTAGTAAATAATATTATAACGAGTCTTTTTATTTTCTGAATCAAAAATACAAAACTGTAGCCCATAGATGTAAGACGATTGTATTAATTGACTCGTCTTCATCACCAGGACCAGCCGCGGACAGGAGGACCAGCAGGAGGAGCACCCACAGACAGGAGCATAAACAGGAGGTATTTGTCTGGAAAATGTCTTGGAACATTATTTATTAATTGTTGAAGTTAAAATTATAAAAATTGCTGGTGGAGCTTTTTTTCAATTTCAAAGTGAAAGTTTTTTTTAAATATTTATGTGAAAAGGTAATATAATAAAAACGTATGCCGGTATACTGGCAGGTTTTTATAACTGTTATTATGGCCTTTGAACCCGATAGTAGAAAATATAGCGACTGTTTTTATTTTCTCAAGTAAAAATACAAACTGTATAGTTGCAATACGATTGTGTTGACACGTCTTCATCACCAGGACCAGCCGGGGACAGGAGGACCAGCCGGAGTAGCAACCACAGACAGGAGCAACCACAGACAGGAGCAACCACAGACAGGAGCATCTACAGGAGGTATTTGTCTGGGAAATATGTCTTGGAAAATGATTTATTAATTATTAAGGTAATATTTGAAAAAAAAAAGTTCCATTTTTTAAAATTTCAAGGTGAAAGTTTGTTGGGGGGGGGGGGTTGCATTTATGTGAAAAGGAAAAATAATAAAACGTATTTTCTGACAGATTTTTATAAATGTCCTTCTGGTATTTTAAACTAGTAGTAAAAAATATTTTTTTAAAGTGACTCTTTTTATTTTCTGAAACAGTTACAATAATTGTATAGAATCAAGAGGATATTATTGACACGTCTTCATCACCAGGACCAGCCGGAGACAGGAGGACCAGCTGGAGGAGCACCCACAGACAGGAGCATCTACAGGAGGTATTTGTCTGGGAAATATGTCTTGGAACACTACTTGTTTATTTATTATTGAAGTAAAATTTAAAAAATACCAATAAAAGTTTTAATTTGGCATTTAGGTGGAAAGGGTAAATGATAAAACATATACTGACAGATTTTTTATAATTGTCTGTCTTTTTAAACCGGTAGTAAACAATTTTATAGCGACCCTTTTTCTACTTTGAAAAATTTACAAATTATACAGATGCAAGTTCTTAAGAAAAAATAATGGAAAAGTTTTTAAACATATGTGCTGACCGATTTTTTAAAAATGCCTGCCCGTCCTTTTAATAAGTGCTATGAAAGACAGATTTTAGGAAAATCTGTAGTTGGCACTTAAATGGAAAAAATTGCCTCATTAAAATATACACCATCAAAAACTACCACTATTTCTTATATCTGTTGGAAGGAGTATGCCTTTGTAGGGTCATTCCTTTTTTTCTTTTTCTCCGTAACTTTATTTCTCCTGTGTGCGCTAAGTGACCATTATTGCAGCTATGTGCATTGTCTTTATTCAAATTTAGTAACTCACGCTACCTTATATATTTTTCTTAGAAAGATGTCAAGCCAACAGTTAACAGCTACCAAAGAAGCAGATACCATGCCCTGACAGAAAGGACCTTCCACTCACCCTGGATGGTAACATCCCCGCGCTGCACAGGGCATCCAGCCAAATGAGTGCTGTGCTAACATGATCAAATTGTGCCAATAGCACTGTGAAAAAAAATTTCTTCAATTAGTCATTCAAGAACTAACAGACAATTGCCAGGCATCAAGAATCCTTCAATATGCAGCTACTCTTGAATAGACATGTCAATTCCTCCAGATGACTACCATGGACTACTTTAACAGTTGGCTGTTTTATTTCTGAAATTGTGTTTATGGCATGGCATCCTTCAGTCCCAGGATACTATGGATCTGCGCCGTAGGAGATTTCAGGTTCGAGAGCAGCGCTTGCTGTGGCTGAACAGGTCCACACAAAATGGCAGTCCTTGTAGCCATGGCTGCACTTGTGAATGGTATCTTTCTGCGTTGGTAGCCTCTGGCTGTTCTTTCGGTGATGGCGTTTGTCTTCAGCTGCCTGTCGCAGTCGGGCTTCACCTCTGATGAGACCAGCTCCCAGTGTCTCCCACCTAAGAGCCCATATCAAGTGATTTCATATCTCGCTTGCACACATCTTTGAAGCGAAGATGGGGGTGCCCTTGCACTTGCTTTGCGGAGGCCAGCTCACCGTACAATAAATTGTGTTGATAGTGCTGTAAAAACCAGCAAAGACTCAAGAAAACAATGTTCCTTGTATGATGTCCAGATGGAGATTTTGTAATGTAGCTACTTAGAAACATTGCAACTGATATAGAATGATAAGAGGTTTTGTTCCCTACTTTCAATGCAAACTTTGGTGACAACAGAAGGTCTAGCCACTTTTCTGGTCAAACATGTCTCACAGTGCTCTGCTGCTACGATTTCCGTATATCACACTCAGGCTTAAAATGACGCAGTGGGGCTGAAGAGATAGGCAGATAGGTTGATAGGGAGCTAGGGGATAGGCTAGGTTCAGAGTAGGATTTTGTAGATATTGCCATGGCCATGGCGGGAGGTAGTTGAGGGGGCAGTGTAGTTTTATTTTTGTTTTGTGTTTGTTTTTTGTTTTTTTGGGGGGGGTGGTTGCAGGGGTAGAATGGTGTGGGTAGAGCTTCCTGCTGATTTTTGAGTTTGAGTGTGAGGTTGTTGGAGTGGATTTTTTATTCTGTAATATTTCTTGCACTTTGTTGGTGCTGTTAATGTTAACTGACTTGATCAAATTGGGTCGATAGTGCCGTAAAACACCTACTCAATCAATCATGACTTGATCAAAAACAAATAAACAAGCGCTGCAAGCTGTTAGTTTGGCCTTTGACCTTCTGTGGTAGACGTTCTGATACCACCAGTATTTTCTTAACTTGAAGTTTGGAGTTGTGAAAAGTTTGAAGTCCACTGATTCAACAAAATTGAAAGCCTTTAGAGCGCTACAAAATATTTTTTTAAACACAACGAAAAGCTTGTTTACTGTAAGAAAAATGGTTCAACAGCCAATGTGTATATACTCAGGTCTTCATGTTTTTGTTGGAGATTTACTCCAGCCCCTCTTTGTAAAAGTTTTGGAACTTTATTCTGATCCCTTCTTGTTAACCTGTTAGAACTTTACTTTGACCCCACATTCCTTGACTTAACTCCAACCCCTCTTGGTGACCCTTTAGTAGGACTTATTAACATAGTTCCACCCCCTTATTATTGATTATTTAGAACTTTACCTTTGGTCCGACCCCACGTTGTTAACCCTCAGGACTCATGTCTTGACCTAGCTCCAACCCCTCGTTGTTGATCACTTAAAACTTTTTCTTTTGTCATATATCTGTTTTTGAATGAAGGCTCATTGAAAACGCTCGTGTCATCCTTGTTTTCACGCTTCGATCATTGCAGTGCTTTATTAACTAACATACCAAATACCACTCTTCACAAGTTACATTTTCAAAATCAAACTGCAAGGCTAGTACTGCAGAAAAAAGAAGAGGAATCACATTACTCCCATCTTAAGAACGTTGCATTGGCTCCCTTTGTCAGCTAGAATAGCATATAAAATTACAATATTATATCATAAATGTGCCAATAATAAAGCTCCCTCATATATCAGTGATCTCATCCAAATTTATGCTCCAAACTCTAGATCACTAAGATCAGACGATCAGTATCTTTTAAGAGTCCCAGAAAGGGAGGTAAAAAAATTTAGCTGAAAGATCGTTTGCCTACCTTGCTCCATCAGTTTGGAACTCTCTTCCCCAACCCTTGAGATATACCGGATCTGAGTCTAAATTTAAAATATCTTTAAAGACACATTTAATGAAATCATCATGTCAGTAGATTCATGTTCAGTACAATGTTTATGTAAATGACTATGTATCCATTTATGTATTGTGCGAATTGCATAGTTTATATTATTTTATTATGTATTTGTGTGTGCTCATTTTGTAACGTGTGATAAGCAAGTAGATGTGTGTGTGTGTAATGTGTGCGTGATTGTGTGTGTGTGTGTGTGTGTGTGTGTGTGTGTGTGTGTGTGCGTGCGTGCGTGCGTGCGTGCGTGCGTGCGTGCGCACGTATGCGAGTGGGAAAATAGTTTGTACATGTAAAGCGCCTAAAGCTGTGTTCACACGGGAGTGGGTGCTATAGAAATTACCTTAGAACTTTACCTTGAGTCCGACCCCACGTTGTTGACCCTCAAGATTCATGTCTTGACTTAACTCCAATTCCTCGTTATTGACCGCTTATAACTTTGCTTTTTGTCCGACCCCACGTTGTTGACCCTCATGACATCTTGTCTTGACTTAGCCCCAGCTATCCCACGTTGTTGACCCTCAGGACATCTTGTCTTGACTTAGCCCCAGCTATCCCTCGTTGTTGACCGTTTATAAATTTACCAATTTACCTTTTGTCCGACCCCACGTTGTTGACCCTCAGGACTCATGTCTTGACTTCGATCTGTCCCCTCTTGGTGACCTTTTAGAACTTGACCTTCAATCCAACCCCATGTTGTTGACCCTAACGACTAAGCTCCAACCCCTCGCTGTTGACTATTAAAAATTTTTCCTTTAGTCCGACCCCACGTTGTTGACCCTCAAGACTCGTGCCTTGACTAAGCTCCAACCCATCGTTGTTGACCATAGTAGCCTACTTTGCCTATAGTCCGACCCCTTGTTGTTGACCCTCAAGATTAATTTCTTGACTTAACCCCTACCCCCTCGTTATTGATAATTTAAAACTTTGCCTTTAGTCCGACCCCACGTTGTTGACCCTCAGGAATCATGTCTTGACTTTCCCCCAACCCCTCGTTATTGACCGTTTATATAACTGTGTCTTTTATCCTTTTTCACGTTGTTGACCCTCAGAACACATGTCTTGACTTCGATCCGCCCCCTCTGCGTGACACTTTAGAATTTGACCTTCAATCCAAACCCATGTTGTTGATCCTATTGGCTAAGCTCTGACCCCTCGTTGTTGACCATTTATGTTTTTTTCTTTTAGTCCAACCCCATGTTGTTGACCCTCAGGACTCATGTCTTGACTTTGATCTGCCCCCTCTGGTTGACCCTTTAGAATGTTACCTTTAGTCCACCCTTTGTCCACCCCATGTTGTTGACCCTCAAGATTCATGTCTTGACTTAACCCCTACCCCTCATTATTGATAATTTATAACTCTGCCTTTAGTCCGACCCCACGTTGTTGACCCTCAGGAGGACTCATGTCTTGACTTAGCCTCTATCCCTCGTTGTTGACCGTTTATAAATTTACCTTTAGTCCAACCCCACGTTGTTGACCCCCAGGACTCATGTCTTGACTTACCTCCAACTCCTAATGTTGATTATTTAGTCCGACCCCACGTTGTTGACCCTCAAGACTCATGTCTTGACTTAGCCTCGATGCCTTGTTATTGACCATTTATAAATTTAACTTTAATCCTATCCCTCGTTGTTGACCCTCAGGACTGTTGTCCTGACTTCAGTCCGACCCTGCTTGGTGACCTTTTAGAAATTTACCATTTGTCCGACCCCATGTTGTTGACCCTTTATTAATTATTCATGTCTTGAATTAACTCCGACCTCTCGTTGTTGACTCTTAGGCCTCATATAATGACTTACATCTGACCGCTTATTGTTGACCCCTCAGAACACTTTTTAGTTTGTCTGAGGGAGAAGTTTCAGTGACAGCGGCATGATTGAAGGCGTAAAACGGTTGTCTGAACTGTCATTGATATTATGTACTAGGTATGTCAGTTTACCTGTCTTTTTGGACTTTTCAAAACTGTGCAAAGAGCTCCTTTTGTGCGGGCAGCAGAAAAATATGTTTAATAAATTTACTGTGTGGAATTTATCTTACTAGTTTTTGTTTGTATTATTGGCTAGGTATTCATGTTCATTCCTCTTTTTATCATGAGTGATTGGAGAGCGCCCCTAGAAGTAGGTCCGAAGAACAAAACTGAATCAAGAGTGTCGTAAAACACCTACTCAAACAAACAAACAAATAGAAGGTCCAACTTCTTTCCTTTCCTTCTGTCATTTCTTTCTGTCTTACTTTTTCTCTCATCTGAAGTTGTTTTGTTTGAAAAGTCCCTTTTCATGATCATTTTCATTGCCATCACCAGACGTTACTTGGGGTGTTTTTTAAAACTCTTTATCTCTTCATGGTTATTGCCAATTAATAATACCGTATGTCAAAAGTAATTGCTCATTTTTGCATTCATGTTGTACCTCAGGGTCATATTATATTTATATATATATTATATAGGTCTTCCACTTTGTATTGTGCTTTCTTTTTATTCATGTTTAATTAGATGTACCAGAGTCGCGTGTAGAAGTTAGGCTCTTTGCCTTGGCACTAAGTAGACTTGAGTTTGATTTTTGAATGGAAAGAGTTTTTAAAAATCTTGTATCTTGTTCTGTCTGCTGGGATACTGTATTCCTCTGTGTCCTCGTTGGCCATGATTGATAGGCAGGAACAGCACAGCCTGCCTCATAAATGATCAGTGTCAAGTAGATGAGGGTGTTGAGCATTAAAATTTACGAGATATGAGATTCTATGAAAAGATCTGGTCTCTTATCCTCCTATTGATATCATTTAACCACGTTTATTAGAGTTTAAAAAATGTGTTGAAAAGGAGAGAATTATTATAGCTTTTGTTTACTTCCCCTTGTGATAGAATTGTTTACCTTGACGGAAAATAAAAGAGACTCTGAGTGAGGTTATTGAAGCGGGGGGAGGGGGCGGGGCGGACGGAGTGAAAGAAGGTGTCACTCCCGTATCTGTCCTCCAAACTGTCATGGTTTGTTTGGCGTGAATACGTACACAGCACAGTGAGCCGATCGTGAGCTTTGTGGTTGCTAGATGCCCCCCTTCACACATATATACCAACCACCGAGATGACACACCCCCCCCCCACCCTTTCAAAATAATATGTTGTAGGCCTACACTTTTGTATGTTTGTCACTCTCTTGTGGCCTACTATTTTGGGGTGCCTTGATAGTCGAAGCAGACCTTGTGCTGTTGAAGCTAAAGAGGTGAGCAGTCTAAGTCTGATTCCCTGTAAAGACTTCTCTGTTGACATCCACCCCTTGGCGCTCATATGACCTTATGCAGTTGCGAGCGCCGTAAAACCCTCTACTATAAAAAAAAAAAAAAAACCTTTTACCTCAATAAAAATTGATCGTGTTCCTAGTGTCATAAAACTCTTACTAAAACAAACAAATTATTGCACACAGAAGACAAAGAGTTCAATTCCTCAGAGGACTGTGACCCTGACCTCAGAGTTCTGTGTCCCTGACAGACATGCACGATCCAAGAAGCCCGCGTGGATGGTTAGCAGGCGCTCTAGTATGATTGGCTCTTTCTTTCTTATCTAACATCCATCATCCTTATCTCTCCTCCTTCTTTGTTGCATGTGTTTATTACTCTCTTATAATGGCACTTTTGTGACCTGCTTGTGCTGAAAATGCCGTAAAACTTTTACTAAAAAACAAAACAAAAGAAAATGGGTAGTTGGAGGGTGCTCTGGTGTGATTTGCTCTTTCTTTCCTATCAAACGTCTATCGTTCTTATATCTCCCCTTCTTCTTGCTTATGTTTGTTACTCTCTTGTAACACCTCTAATCTTCTGGCGCTCATATGACCTTATGCAGTTGCGAGCGCCGTAAAACCCTCTACTAAAACTAAACTAAAACAAAAGAAGCCCATTTCCTAAGTGATATAAACTGTAGTGACAGGTGCCTAAAGCATTTACAACTAATAAACACAACAAAACAATTTCAAATAACATGGAGCCACCTCATTGACATACAGGAATTACATCACACAGACAGAAATTATTGATAACAACGGTATACAAACTACTTTTCAATGAGGGCAAACATTTTATTTTTATTTTTTTCAAACAGGTAAGATTTGCTCTCATCTCATTTGTTCCAACTTCTTCATTTGTGGAAGTCCAAAGAACACACATTTTTTCCTGCACACGAACTCCCCACAATCACAGCTTTACACAGGATGTACTCTCACTCTCACTCTCACTGTCCAAGTTTTTCGGAGATATGGCATAACCACATATTATTGCTAGTACAGTATTGTGTATGTGATCAAATCAAAATCCAGCAAAAAAATACAAGCAGTTCTCATAGAAGAATTTTGAAAGTCAGTCACTTCATTCAAGGAAAAATAGAATCATTTGGAGAAAGGTAAGCTAACTGTAGCAATTATATTACTATTGATAATAGTAGGAACAGTCATCAATATACACTCTCCAAATTTAATTGGAGAAATCAAATAAGAGAGAAAACGACAGCAGCTCAAAATATATATA